GGGCCCTTGGAGACACCACTCCGACACTGTTTCGACACTCTTTCGACACTTTTCCGGGTGCTCGAAATTATTTATGGGATGTGGTCCTTAAGTACGATGGGAGCAACATAAGTGTAGGTGGCGATCCGCACCACAGCGCCTGTGTACACCACAGTGCCTGCGTGCACCACAGTGCCAGTGTACACCACACAGCCTATGTACACCACAGCGGCCGCGTGCAACACAGCGCCAGTGTTTGCCACAGTGCCTGCGGGCACCACAGCGCTTGTGTACACCACAGCGCCTGCGTACACCACATCAGCCGTGTGCACCCGTGCAAACCACAATGCTTGCGTGCACTACAGCGCCTGTGTACACCACGGCGCATGTGTGCACCACAGCAAGTGTGTGCAACAGAGCACAAATGGTGCACATTAATTTTAGAAGAAATCCTGCGCCTGTGGATTCCACAGAGCACAATATTTTCATCCTTATGGAAACAGGAGTGCCGCTGGAATCTACGCGTCCTCCCGCATCATTCTAACTCCTCCCATATGAGTCCATCGCAGAACCAAGTGGACTGATTCAATACACAATTCTGCGGTGCGCGCTGAGATGCGCACGTGCGCTGTAGCGCCGACCCGCACGACAGGGGGGAGGGGGGAGGGAGGAGGGGGCGGAGGAGGAGAAGGAGGAGGAGGAGGAGGAGGAGGAGGAGGAGGAGAAGGAGGAGGAGGAAGAGGGGGAGGAGAAGGAGGAGGAGGAGGAAGAGGAGGAGGAGGAGGAGAGAGGAGGAGGAGGAGGAGGAGGAGGAGGAGGAGGAGGAGGAGGAAGAGGAGGAGCAGATCCTTTCTTACATGCTCCTCCTACCTGGCCTGCGCACGCAGGCGCTATGGTGTACACCAGCGCTTCGTTGCACGCGGCTTTGCTGCAGACAGGCGCTGTGGTGTGCACAGGCGCTGCGGTGCACGCAAGCATTGCGGTGTACACAGGCGCTGTGTTGCACATGGTTGCTGCTGTGGAAACATTCGCTGTGTGGTGTACACCGGCGCTGTGGTACACGCAAACAGTGTGGTGTACACAGGCGCTGCGTTGCACACGGCTAGGGCAGGGCCGATGACGGCTGGTATCCCCAAAATTATAGAACAGACTCTTTTTTGTGGTGCCGGAGCCACACGGCGGGGGGGGGGTACGTTATCCCCCCCCCCCCGCCCCCCCTATAACGCCCATCATCGCCTAAAACAAAGGAACGCGCTCTAACCGCTTGAGACATACCTCACCTTTGCGACTCGCAGGGGAAGTGTCTCCGTCTTGATTCCCAAGGCTCTCAGTCGGCTCGCGCTACTGGTGGTCCTGGACCGCCTGGGAGACCGCACCACCGACACCACCCGAACAGGGAATCACCAGAGACTCCTCTGTCCTCTCCTCGATTCTCCCTTCGAAGCCCTCGGCCCCTCTGGGAGGACTCCGGCCGCGAGGCCGCGGGCCCTCGATGCCGAGGACCCGCTCCGCCGCGGTGCGCGAGGGCTCCCGGCTCCTGAGCAGGCCCCGGCTTCCTTGAGGTTCGCCGGGCAGCTCCAGTCCGGGCGGAGGGGGGGTGAAGGACGAAGCAGGCCGACAGGAGCGGAGGGGATCGACGGGGGGAGGAGGCGGCTCTCTCTCTCTCTCTCTCTCTCTCTCCCTTTCATGGGTATCACGACCCTCGCTCTCGCTCACCCTTGCTCTCTTGATGTCCGGCGGACTGCTCGCGGCCCAGGGTCGCTGCATACACAGTGGTGCGTCCGGAGGTTGCTCGGGTTTCCTGGTTCGAGGGGGAGGGGCGGCATTCCGGACCAAAGAGGGAGCCGCGGGAGGCTCTCGGGAGCCTTGAGACGGGGGTCAATGCAAACGGGGGTCAGCCAGAGCGCCCGATCTTGCAGGATCCTGCAGGGCCAGGGGCGCACTGGCCCGGGATTGGGTGCATGATTCTGCAGGGTCTTGCAGGATCCTTCGCGCTGACCTGGGTTTAGTGCAGGATCCTGCAGGGTTCTGCAAGGCCTGATTGACCCGGGATTGGATGACCCGGGTCAGCAGATCCCCGAGGCTCCAGGGCAAAGCCTGGGGTTTCCTCTGATCCACCTGGCGAGACCTGTCTCTCGGATTCGAGGGCGCCCTCTGTTTCTTCGGAGGTGGGGGGGGGACGAGTCCGCTCGGAACCGGCCTGCGCCGCGTCGGACCCAGCCACGGAAGATGGGGCTCGAGGGCCTCTGGTTGGTGGTCCCACCACCGTCGGGGAGTGGGTTCGAGGGTGCGGCAAGACTTCCTCGGAAGGAACCTGGGCCTGGCCAGGGATTCGTGGTCCGGGATCCGAACTTGGATGAACTGGTTGATCCCGCGCCTCGTCGAGCGGAGGTCCCTCACGCTGGACGTCCACGGCGGACGCCCGGCGAGTGCGGGCTGCCTGAAGCATTTCTTGCCATCTTACGGTCCTGGCCAAGTTGCAGTCCGTGGTTTCCTCTGGACAGGCAAGTCGGACTTCCTCTGACGAGCACTTCCAGATCCTGGCGCCGTGCCCCCGGTGGAGAAAACAACCGCTCCTGGCGTAGTCCACTCATCCCTTCTCCTTCCTAGAGTGTCGGCCCGGGAGGAGATTCGGGAAAAGTGCCTCCAGACGACAACCCACTGACCAGGAGTAAGATTCCTGAGGCCTGGCTCCCCGAAGAGGAGCAGCAAACCAGGGCGAACAGTCTAGTTAAGGACGAGAAAGACGAGGCAATTGAGCATATTGATAGGGGATTTGTGGAAATTAGCATTGACTAAATCACCGCGAGGTCGGTCACTCATCAACAGGACCTGTCAACGCCCACGGAGGTCAGTGAGAAATGCAAATAAGCGAAACGATATGGCGCAAATCAGGCAACGGTGTGCGCGCGCGTGAACTGGGCCTGGCGGACAAGATGGGACTCCATGGATTTATTCGCCCACGACGAACATGGGAAACCATGGGGCGTCGACGCGCCCGAAATGAGACAAGCAAATTGTCATGATCGTCAAAAGCATAGCAGCGGTGCTATCTGTCGTCAGTCCTAGGTGTGCCAGTTTAAGTTGACAGTTGAAGTTCAACCAGAAGAGAATAGGTGAATAGAAAACCAGGGAAAGAACCGTGTACGGACTGATTCATCATGGGATTTGTAAGGGGGTTATGTGAAGTAAGGCGCAGCGGGCTATATTTCCTACTCGAGCACCCAGAATCAGCGTGTAAGGCAAGAGGACGCTGTGCCTCCCCGCGGTAGAGGTCTATCGAGGTGGCGCCTTCACCTGTGGCATGGCATCCGAATGTCGCGGAGAGGAGTGGGCAATCGATGAGTCTTTGATATACCCGAACAACTTGCCACAGAAAGGTTCAGGATTGAACATCACGTGAATTTGCGACCACATGCCTATTGAGCTAACGGGAGGAGGATTGACCAGGCATGCAGAAGTTTATTCGATCGCTTCTGAAAAGCCCTAGTTACAATTCGTCGAGCAAATAGCGCAAGACAGACTCGGCTGGCTTCAAGGGTCGGCGACATTGGGGGTATCAGTCTTGTGGGACATGCTGCGAGCGAGAACGAGTAACTGAGTCAAGATCTCGCGACGCCAGAGGGGCACAAAGTCACGTGGTGCAGAACATGCGATAAAGCCAGGGGGGCTGATGCTGCCTGGCCGGCCCAGCGGGGCAAAGATGGAGCTCGCGTGTCAAGGAAGTCGCGCGGGGCGTCGACAGTGGTTCAGTGCCAGAGGACGGGCGCGCAGACCAGATGATTAGGCGCGAGCGAAAGCGTTTTATTTGAGTGTGGATATGTGGGGCGTCATAAACATCGCCGTCGAGTTCACCTACAATGGGTAACTGGGGCGAGCGCAGTCACCAATGGGAAGACGCCGGCCGCTTGTGAGAACTGTGGCTCCGTTGCCCGAATCGCATGCTCAACCGGCCAGGGGTGCATTTGGTGCGCGGGGCCGAAGGGCAAAGAGAGTTTTGGGCGATGCCACTGGGTGCGATTCAATGCCCGAGCGAACGGCCAAAGCAAGACAGCAGGGTATGGACCCATTCCCTCAGCACAACGTGTCTGTCCAAGTCACCGAAGATGAGTGCTTGGAGGTGGCCGGCAAGGTGCCCGTCGGAACGACGTGGACTGGCAGTGGCGCATGCGATGACTCCATGCCTGAGTGCAGACCAAATTTAGTGGCGCAACGAGGCGGCTGCAGTTCTAAAGAGAAAGACGCGCTTGTGGCCGCGCCGCTACTCGAAGCGGATAGATATTGTTCTCGATGGCAGCGGCGGAGTGATTATGATATAGTCTACCTATTCGGTAGCCGCCTTCTCGCCTGGAGAAGTGGAGTGTTGCGGATTGGGGCATGGGACATCTGTTGTTCTTGACTTCCAATCCGTTTCCAGGGTTTTGGGGCCACTTGCAACATGCAACTTGAAAGTGATTCTACAGCTGTTTCGGCTATAGCCAGCAGGAGGGGCTGAACGGCAAGTGCGACGCAAAGAGGCGTGCCAGCTGTTGTGGCAAGGTGAAGTTAGATGCGGGTGCGTCGCGATTGTAAATTAGGTGCTGACGACTACATAGCAGGTTCAGTGACGTAATCTGCGAGCAGTGAGAGAGTGAGGATTCGCGCGAGGGGAACCGGTCAACGCCATGAAGGAGGGGGGGCGCGATTTGGCCCCCGCGGCTGAACGCAAGGAAATTTCAGGGCTAGCCACGGCGGCGAACCTTACCTTAGTTCTCACTCCGCGTTCCTCACCACTCGCCTGGGGCACTCGTGCCCATCGCGATAGCCGGCGCGGGCGCGGCTGATGGCGATCTCAATCCGATCTCGAGCCAGATCACCAATGACCGGGAAGTGGATATCACCGCCTCGGGGCCCATTGCCAACCAGAACGTCGGGAACCTCGATGGAAAAATGGAGTGCGTGGCGCAGCTTACCATATGTTCCATGGCGTTTTTGTTTAGAATAACCGCCTCGACAAGGCCAACAACATGGCGCGCGCTCGCATGGCCAGGCGGCTGCGCGACGCCGCTGATGCCGTCGGGTACGCCACGAGCAGCAATTGCGAGAAGTTCGAGGCGACCCTGGCGGCCGTAGAAGATATGTTGGACCGTCGCCAAAGCTGCTCGACCACCAGGGGGAGCTCAAGAGGGCGAGCGGGAACGCCACTTCTCGTGGCCCTCGGCCCATCCCGCCAATGTGCCTGGGTTGTTGTTATGAAGCCTATTGGATGTCCTTTGGGATCTCGTGGGGGGGGGGGGGGGGCTCTTCCTGGAGGCAGTTCGGGGGCCTCCTGGGGGCCAGTGTGGGGCTTGCTGTGGCCTCCTTCCCGGCCTCATGGGGGCTTCTTGGGGCCTCTTGGGGGCTTCTCGGGGCGTCCCAGGCGCCTCTTGGGGCCTCCTGGCGAGTCCTCCTGGGTGGGGGCCTTTGGGCGGGAGGTTCGGATTTTTGTTTCGTGGTTCCTGTCTGCGTGCCTGTTGGTCCGTCTTGGGCGCCTCTTGGGCTGTCTTGGGGCGCTCTGAGGCCGTCTCGGGGCCTTCTTGGAGGCGTCCGCGGAGGGCCGGGGGAACTCTTCAGGATTGAGGGTTGAGGCCCAGATCTCGATGCTGAGGGCCGGAGGGCGCGCCCGCTCCGCGGTCGGAGGCGCGGCGGCCGATGCAAGAGCGATGAGTTTCTCGAGGGCGAAGCGGCGAGGGCGTCCGAGCGATCTATCAACGAGCGCGAAACCCTCCGCGCTATCGAACAGGGCGTCACCGAGGTCAGCGATGCGTGCTTGATGCTGAGCGCCATGAAGGGATCGACGGCGCAGGTAGAGACCGCGCGCTGGAGGAAGTAATTAATCGGGCATTTTAAGGCGATGCGCCGGGAGATCGGAGATCAACGCAATGGCCCCGTGGGTGCCATGTGTAAATCTGAGAGTGCGAATCTGGCTCCCGTGGCGGCTGTGCCAAGCCCGCCAGTTTCTTCGAGCGCGCCCCGGTCCGTCGACCCTCCAGGGTTGGCGCGGGGGCCGAGGCTGGCGAGGATGGCGCCGGCCAGTCTTCGCCTTCGGGCAATGGCCCAAGGCAGCGCCAACAGGACGACTGGGGGCCGGGCGAGCAAAACAGAGGGTCGGAGGCAGCGCTCGCCCGCGGAGCTACCTGATCCGACGCCGGGGCCAAAGGATGATGCAAACAATGGCGAGGATGGCGGCGACTCGGGGGCCGAGGGCGAAACGTCGACGGGCGAGTCAAGATCGGCCCCGTCGCCCGCGGAGGTCCCCCTTGGACTCCATTTGCTGCGCGTGTCACCGAGCCCAGTGAGCAGGGCGGTGCGAGTGCGCGCTCGCCGGGTCGCCGACCCACATTTCGCGACGTTGCCCCTCGGGTATACCTCGTCGAAATGCGGGGCGATCTCATCCTGCCGCGGGGCCACCCTCACTATGCCTCCAATGACAGGAGGCCCCCGACCGGGGCGCTGGGCCGGGCTGCGGGGATCAGGGGGCCGTGGGGTGACGGATTCAGAGGTTCGGGAGAATGCGAGGCGCGTGAGTGGAAAGACTCGCTGGGCAGCGTCATCGCTGGGGTGGATTGGCAGTCGTCGGGGCTCGAGCAGGAAGCCGCGCGGCAGAGTTTACTGCGCGTGGTTCAAAGTTCACCCCCAGAGCCCGCTACGCGGCGCAGCGTACTCACGGATTACCGAAGGGGCAAAGGCGATGATTGGGCAATGCTAGCGACGTCCATCCGATCGAACTCCCCCGACGACAACGAACAACGAGGGTTATCGTGGCCCCATGGTCCCGGATTTCATTCTCCGCCGGTGTGTGATTAGAAGTCGGTGACATGGCCCTGGCATGCATCAAGTTCATGCCTTGTCTTCTCGAGCGAGAGTGCATTGACGTGATGGCTGCCTGGTGTAATGTCTTTTGACCAGGCAGCGCCGTCGCGCTGGCCAGTGACGCCACGGCGGTTCTATGTATAACGGTCGCGGGGCCATCCAAGCAGGCGCGGTTGCCGCGCGGTTCCTGGCCGGAGAGCTGGCGAAGGAGTTCAATGCCATTGGCGACGATCTGGGGATCTACCGCGACAACTTCGACGCAACCGTCAGGCAACCGCGCGGGTATGAGACTGAACTAGCGGATGCCTCAGAACTAGCGCGGCGCCGCGCGGCGCTTCCCGCGGCGATTCGCAGGCGGGTGCAGTTCATGCAGGCGCGAGCCGAGCGGCAGATGCCTGGTCCTACTACTACTTCGTAACCCCGCAGCCGGCCTGGCGAGGGCATCCCATGGCGGGCCCGCATCTTTCCTGGTGGGTATCGCATATGGCCATTCGCAAATTTTTGGCTGTCAGTCCTCTCTTGGTTACGGACTATGAGCGCAGTCGGGGGAGACATAACCTGAGGCGGGCCTCGCCCCGTGTCGAGCGCCCATGTGTCGCATATTGGAAAGCTGTCGGCAGGTTCCGCGGGGTCGGCGACCAGTCGCCCAAGAAACGCGGTAATTACCCGGATGAATGTTGGAGAGCCCGGGCTCGCAACGACGAGGGCGATAACATTTGGAACGTTGGTCGCCGCGTGGAGGAAGACGCGCGGGCGCGCGGTCGCGCCGGGGGGCGCGACCGAGAGGAGGACGTCGCGCGCGCTGAATCTGGCCAGGGCCAGGGTAAAGGGAAGCGACCGAGGTCGAAATCCATGTGGCTACTGCGGTCCTGAGTGCCGGCGACATATTCTTACTTCCTTCCTCTACGAGGTCTGTCGCGGGTTTAGCGTATGAGGTTTCACATGAGTGCGCGTGTGTGTGTGTGTGTGTGTGTGCGACACACATACAAAGTGGACATCCCGCCGTGCTGCAAGTCTTCCTTTGCATTGCCACTTCACTTGTATGGCGCATGCCGTCTAGATTAGCCTTCAGGCTCATGCGTGTCTTAGTGTGTACACTAACCTGTTTGGGCATAGGTCAGCTTTTTGCCGTTGCCATGCTCGTGTTGTTGAGTTAGCTCTAACTCCCACCAGTAACGATGCACATTCATATGAGGTTTCGCGTAGCTCGCCCGACCTGTGCTACGAAAGCGTTGGGGTGTGTTCGGATGTAGGCGCCCAATTGCCAAAGAATTCTAACCGCCTCGCGGCGGTGCATGACACAGACGTATGCTTTCCCTGTCCGCTCAACGAGGAAAAGGGTTTCACACCTCCTTCCAGCGTCCTGGAGGAGAAGGAGGATGAAGAAGAGAAGGAGGAAACGAGGAGGAGGGAAACAAACAAGAGGGATAGGAACACTAGTACTAGTACTACTACTACTACTACTACTACTACTACTACTACTACTACTACTACTACTACTACTACTACTACTCCTGCTACTACTACTACTACCACTGCTACTACTACTACTACTACTACTACTACTACTACGACGGAGACGACGACTACTACTACTACTACTACTACTACTACTACTACTACTACTACTACTACGTAGTAGTAGTAGTAAGTAGTAGTAGTAGTAGTAGTAGTAGTACTACTACTACTACCACTACTACTTCTACTTCTACTACCACTACTACTACTACTACTACTACTACTACTACTACTACTTACTATTACTACTACTACTACTACTACTACTACCACTACTACTACTACTATGAGTACTACTACCACTACTGATGATAGTAACCATACCATTTTCAAGAATATGAGGAAACCAACTGTGAATCATACAAGGAAACTTAATATTGATTCTACGCATACGAAGCAGAAAATTAATTCTGGCGATGTGTATGACAAGGCGAATAAGAATACTACCGGGAGTCCTAATCAGAGTGTGGATCAGAAGAATACGATACAGTATGATAATACGAAGAATGCAAATAATAGTACTGAACATTTAGTGTGGAAAAGGGTACTACGTATAAGAAACCTGCTACGTCGAATTTGACGAAGAACCTGAGCATTAATAATGGGAATCTTAATAATAATGATAGATCAGTATTAGTAAACATGGTAAGCAAAACAATTATGGCGCCACCAATAATCACACTCATACCAATACTATTCATAATTCTGCGAATGCCAAACCGTGATACCAACGTTAATAATAATGGTAATAACCATCAGAATGGTAATAACCATCATACTGGTACTGTTAGTAATACTAATATGAGTAATCATCGATTGTGCTCGTATTTCAAGAGTAGGAAGACAAACCATACTAGTATAATTATTACTGCAGTTTGAAACTATACTAGTATTAGTGCTACTCGTATATGTGGTAACGACGCTAAGCAAGTTGTTGTTGCCACTCATAAATCTATGAGGTATAGTACGAACGATGCTGCTGATGATAATGAGCATGCTACGAATGATGAGAGTACTACTCGAATACTACTACCAACTGAAATAATACGAATAAGCATGGTATCACTAGTACCAATACTAATCACAGGAGTCGTAGTAATAGTAATAAAAATGTTGTTATTCATACCTGTATTACTAATAATAATAAGACGATGAGGAGGGGTGAGAGAGACCACGAGGAGGAGGGATGACGAGGAGGATGAGGAGGACAAGGAAGAAGAGGAGGAGGAAACATAAGAGGAGGAGGAGGACGAGGAGGTGGAGGAGGAGGAGGAGGAGGAGGAGGAGGAGGAGGAGGAACCGGAGAGGTGGAAAAGACTCCAGGACGGGAAGGGGTGTGCCCGCCCAGGCACGCCCATGGCCTGGTTGCACGTCTATGATCTGCTGCCGGCGGGGGCCAACGACCTGAGCCTGCATGTGGGCCTGGGGCTCTTCCATGTGGGCGTCGAGGTCTTCGGTGTCGAGTGGCCCGGGTCTCGGAGGGACTCCTTCTTCTGCTTCCTCTTCTTCTGATTTCTTTTTCTTTCTCCCCCTCCTCCTCCTCCTCTTCCTTTCTCCTCCTTCGTACACCCTTGTCCACCTCCTCCTTCATTCCGCATTCTTCCGTCCTCCTCCTACCGATGGTTTCATTCCCTAAAGCGCTTGGCTGTCCTTGCCCGGTTCTGAGTCCCCCAATTCTTCCTCTGACCATTTTCTTGTCGTTTGGCGAGGGCGGCGACGGCGACAGCTACTGCGAGCGGCGGTTGTGGAGAGAGAGCCGCTGCTTCCGATCTTGTGTGGCCGCCGCCACCTTCTGGGCAATTTCGAGGCTGCCCCGCCGCGGCCCCTTCCTCTCCCTCTCTTCGTGTGAGGCTGTCGTTGCCGTTGCCTCTTCATGCTCGGGTTTGCCCCCCCCCCCCCCCACCCCCCTTTAGCGGAGGCCCGGAGGGGGGGCCCTCGGACTGTGCGAGTAGGATTCGGAGAAGAGCCTCCTGCATCGGGGCCCCCATCCACGGCACTTTTTCGGGAGCGCCCTGTCCCACGCCAGCCACTGCTGTCGCAGTCCACTGCCGATCACAACACTTGCGGTGTGGTCGCCTTCCTGTTTGGCCACCATGATTCCAAGGTGGTCAAATCGTTCGAAACTCCAATATATCCGGCCGGCATCATGATTAGTTGACGAAATGGCCTCCACGAACTCCTCGAAAACATCCTCGACGCCGACCGCGACGACGACGCCGATGCCGACGACGACGACGCGCGACGCACAACGCACGACGCACGACGTTCGACGCGCGACGACGGCAACGCTGACGCCGACGCTGACGCCGCCGACGACGACGACGACGGTGGCGATGGCGACGATTACAGCGACGACGACGACGATGTCGATGACCGCGACGACGACGATGCACGACGACGACGACGACAACGTCAACGACAGCGACGACGATGACGACGGCGACGACAACGACGGCGACAACGCCGACGACGACGACGTCACCGCCGACGCCAACAACGACGACGCTGCCGACGACGACGACGATTACGACGACGCTGACGACGACGACGTCGACGACGCCGACGACGCCGACGACTCCGACGATGATGACGATGACGACGACAAAGTCGACGAAGACGACGACGAGTCGACGCCGACGCCGACGCCGACGGCGACGACAATGACAACGACATCGGTGACGACGACGACGAGGACGACGACGACGATGGCGACGACGACGCACGACGCATGACGCGCGACCCCCGACGCACGACCCATGACGCCGACGCCGACCACGACGACGACGGCGCCGACGTCGACGCGCGACGTTCGACGCACGACGACGACGTCCGTGCCGACGACGACGACGCTGTCGACGACGACGACGAAGGGCGACGGCGTCGACGACAACGACAACGACGACGACGACGACCCCGCCGACGACGACGACGACGGCGACGACGCCGACGACGACGACGCCGACGCCGACGACGACGACGCCGACGCCGACGACGACGACGCCCACGGCGCTCTGGCGACGACGACGACGCCGACAACAACGACGCCGACGACGACGATGAAAACGAGGGTGTCGACGACAACGACGAAGACGACGAAGAAGACGACAACGACGACGCTGACGACGACCACCACGACGCACTATGCGCGACGCACGACGCACGACGACGCCGACGCGGACGCCGACGTCGACGCCGTCGCCGACGACGATGACGATGATGACGACGACGGCGACGGGGACGGGGACGGCGACGACGACGACGCCAACCACGATGACGACGACAACGACGACGAGGATGACGACCCTGCCGACGACGACGATGATGCCGACGACGGCAGCGACGTCGAAGACGCTGACGACGACCACGACGAAGACGAAGCCGACGACGATGCCGACGCCGACGCCGACGACGACGCCGGCGCCCACGCCGACGGTGACGGCGATGGCGACAGCGTTAACGGCGGCGACAACTACGACGACGATGACGACGATGCCGACGACGATGCCGACGACGACGAATACGACGACGACTCACAACGCACCACGCACGACGCACGTCGCACGTCGACGACGCCGACGCTGGCACCCACGCCGGTGCCGATGACGACGTCGACGCCGACGGCGACGACGACGACGCTGACGACGAGGACGAAGAAGACGACGAAGACGACGACGACAAGCACAGTAGAGTAGGTGTAGAGTAGAGTTTGATAGGAGTAGAGTAGAGGGTAGAATAGAGTCGAGTAGAGCAGGGTGGGGTACGGTAGGGTGAAGTAGAATCGGGTAGGGCATAGTAGAGTAGGGATGTGTAGCTCGAGAAGGCTAAATAGGTAGAGCAGGCCAGACAATAGTATAGCGTAGCAGAGCTGAATCGAGTATAGAGTAGGAGTAGAGTGGAGCAGGAGCAAAGTAGAGTAGGGTAGAGTATGTAGGGTACGGTATGGTCGAATAGGGTAGAGTCGAGAAGGGCAGAATCGAGTAGAGTAGAGCAGAGGAGGGTTAAAATCGAATTTGGAAGGAGTGGAGTAGAGTAAAGTAATAGTGTCTCTTACGGTACGGTAGGGTATCATAGACTAGAGTAGAGTAGAATAGAGTAGAGTAGAGTAGAGTGGATGAACGTTGATCATAGTAGAGTAGGGCCGAGTAGCGTAGAGCACATCCGGTCCTTACCTCGTGTAGGGTAATGAGAGAGCTAGATCGAGCCCTCGTAGTAATCTTTCAGAGCCGCCGCCTGGCGCGACAGGTGCGCCGCCGCCGCTGACGTGGTCGTCGTCGTCGTCGTCGTCGTCGTCGTCGTCGTCGTCGCCGCCGCCGTTGTCATCGTCGTCGTCGTCGCCGTCGCGGTCGTCGTCGACGTCGTCGCGGTCGTCGTCGTCGTCGTCGTCGTCGTCGTCGTCGTCGTCGTCGTGGTCGTCGTCGTCGTCGTCATATTCGTCGTCGTCGATGTCGTCGTCGTCGTCGTCGTCGTCGTCGTCGTCGTCGTCGTCGTCGTCGTCGTCGTCGTGGTCGTCGTCGTCGTTGTCGTCGTTGTCGGCGTTGTGTTGTCGGGGGGGGTGATCAGACCCCCGATGATTTTTCCGTGGGTGGGGGGGATCCAGAACCCCCCAACAAATTTTCCCACGGAGTGGGGGTGGATGCCAGACCCTTCCCATTCATTTTCCTGGGGGAGGGGGTGGCTTTGGACCCCCTAGGTTCTTCTCTGGGGTGGTGATTGGGGGGGAGTTTGGGGTGTATTGCCCCCTTGGTTTCTGATCCTCCCTTCAGGAGTTTTTCCGGGGGGGGGAGGGGTCCCCTGGTTTCTGATTCCCCCGTAGAAAGTTTTCAGGCCAGCGACTGGATCGCGATCCCTCCGATATTCCGACGACCCGATGCGGCCCAATATTTGCGTGGCGCTGTTGTGCATATTGCCCCAGCCGATCCAATGCGAGTCCTACGCCGTGGCGACGCAGCCCGATACCACGCACACGTCGATGCGATCCGATCCCCAAAAAGACTGTCGGAGGTCCGCGTGACTTCCTGGGACCTGCGACCAATTACGATCTTTACCCCCGCAGGTCCAGACGATGCTGGGGCACCGGGCACCCCCGCTGGGGTTCACTTGTCTGCAGGCGTGCTTCGAATTCTGACCCCCAGCTGGCGCTTCAGAATCCTGACCTGCAGGGCCGTCGCCTGTTGGCTCCGCGCTGGACCCCTGGCGGTGCCTGCGGCGCCATCCCTGGCCCTGGCGCAAGTCGCGCGATGGGAAGGGGTCCAATGTCGGGGGACGAAATCTATACATATCCACTGCTCCCTGGCCAGGCCCATTTTGAACCCAGGAGCTGTGTATACGCCCTCCTGGCCAAACCAGGAGGGCGTGGCGTATACACAGCTGCTGTGTTCAGGATGGGCCTGGCCAGGGAGCAGTGGATATGTATAGATTGCGTCGCCCTACAGTGCCGATCCAAGAGATCCGCGCGGACCTCTGAAAGCTGAGGTTTACAGATCTTGGGATCCGGGCGTTGCATTTTGTTCACGCGGGGCCTTCTCGCCCGGTCTCGGCCCTTGGGACCACCACGTATCGATCCGGCTCGACAGGTGCCACAGAAAGATGGGGTCTCGGGTTCCGGTCGTACTGCTTTTCGGTGCCTGTACTTTCGTTTCCAGCGCGAGGTCACAGGGTATGCAGTTTTTCTTTTTTGCTAGCCCCCCCCCTTTCCACACGCCGAGGTCGTACGGGCTCACCGACCCGGACCCGTCGCTGCCGCCCGTCACCGGGGTGTACCCGGTCGAGCCTACGATGCGCACCCCGAGCAGGCACAGGGAGCGGATCTGGCTCGGGCCCGTCAGGATGAAGGGAGCGCGCGAGGTCCCGCGCGCGGGGAGGCGAGGGGGGGTGGGGGGAGTGGGGGCGGGGGAGGCGTGGGACGAGTGACCAGGGGGAGGAGGAGGAGGAGGAGGAGGAGGAGGAGGAGGAGGAGGAGGAGGAGGAGGAGGAGGGGATCTGGCTCGGGCCCGGCAGGATGCAGGGAGCCCGCGAGGTCCCAGGCGCGGGGAGTGGAAGGGGGAGGGGGGCCCAGCGTTGAACTCAGACCTCTGGAGGACTTTCTTCTTCAATTCTGGCGTTTTTCTTTCAATTCGGCCTCCAGGACCTTTCTTGGGCCCAGAAGCGTCAAACAACGATTCGGGATGAAAATTTGGTCCTGGGGAATTAGCAGGGGTTGCTGGGGACCCCGTGTTGAACAAATGAAGACATCGTGTTGGAGGCTCTAAGCCTTTACCACGGGCGGAAAATCCTCAGGATTAGGGTTTCGGGGGCCCAGCAGGAGGAGGGGGGAGCAGGATTAGGATGGGTTAGGAGGGGCATGATGAGGAGGACCAGGGTAAAGCCAGGTTGTTTCAGCGATGCTGCAGTCCACCCTTCGTCCCAGGTCCCCTCCACAAATCCCTGCAAGCCTTCCTCTTCATCACAAGAAGCTCCCGCTTCAAAGGCGAGCATCTTGTGGGCCTGCCAATCCGATCTGTGTAACAACGGTTGCACAGTTGTATACGTCAAGGCATCACACTAAGGGAGTCACAAGCGAGAGCCCCAGTTTACAACGGCGCTGTCTTCCATCCGTGCAGCCGTTACATAGTTTCAGGCGCATTTTAGTTAATTGCGAATGGGCATGAAGCGAGAGCTCCATTTTTGAAGAGGAGCCGCCTTCCGTCCTTGTAAGTGTTGAACTTTCCAGGCGAGTGTGCGCGACGTTGAGGCGATTACCCCATTTTGTAAACGTGCCGCCTCCTTTCTAAGTGTTGTTAAAGGCGGGTGAGGAGTACGAGGAACAATCGGAGGCGGAAGGGGATGAGTTGGTGTGAGTTGTACTCCATACAATGTACATATCCGGGGTTTTATGATTAATATGTTAGATCAAACTTCAACCCCTTCGCTTCAGCACGTCACCATGCACAGTAGCAGCAGGTAGCAGAGGGCAGGCATGAGAGCATGTACCGACGCTGCTTCAGTTCGAGAGGCTTCTCGCATTTACTAAAACAGAACGGCTCTCTCCTCTGGGCGCGCAATGGCGATAGCTTGGAGGCGAACGAGGAGAAATTGGTGGAGAGACTTGACTTCAATTCACAGGTTCGGAGACTTCGGGCGCTTCGATCAATTGGCATTGGTAGCGGAGCTACGGCCCCACGGACACGACAAGATGGGACCGCCCACGGGCGGCAAAGGATCCAAGAGGAAATCTGACACTCCACAGCATGCTGGCAGGGCACTAGAGTTTGATGGTTCCCTCGATAACTACAAGGCTTTCAAAGGAAGCATGTGGAGATCTACGCAGCCAGGGCCCGAGGTAAAGTGATAAGGAAGTCCGTCGGTCTCGAGATCATGCGCGGCGTGTGGGGCCGAGCGTGGGACGTAGTGTGGGATTTAGACATTGAGGCGACCGAGGACGAGGACGGCTGGATGACTATTCTGGAGGCTCGGGATCGCGCGTGCAAGTGCCACCGCATGACGGAGTTGCCGGCCGACCTCGAGAGTTTTCTTCCGTGTGGCCGGCAAACCGAAAGAGCCCCTGATTGATTCATGGACGAGGTTTCGCATGGCGAAGAGAAGGGTCAGGGCTCGCAGTATCTCACTCCTGGACCATGTGATGGGATGGCGTCTTGTGCGGCCAGCTGGGGTAGACAAGGAAGGTAAACGACTCATCGCGAATCAGATATGGGGACAACCTCGCCCTCGACAGGGTCGGGAAACAACTGAAGCTGACGCTCGGCCTGGACTCGCTTGTGTCGCAACGGGCGGGTCTGGAGCGGCAGACTACCAGGTGGACGAGTGCTACGACGAGGACGACTACCAGGATGCAGCGCACTACGGTGAGCATGACGAATACCCCAGCTGCGACGGCGGCGGCGACCAACAAGTGGAGCGCGGAGGCGCCGGCGGCTTCGGCAGCGAGGCTTGCTACTATAGCGTCGCGGTGCAAAAGCAATCCGCGGATCAGGCAGCGTGCAGCGTGGTCGAACATGATGATATCATGGCCACCTGCGCCGACGCCCTGGAGAAGATTAACGACATGAGGTTGGCCAGGAGTTTCTATCCCGTCATGGCCGTGGCGCATCCGCCGACGACGCCATCCAGGAGAGAGCGCGCCCCCGATCATCCCTCAGGGAGGTGGTGGCCGCGCGCGCAGAGGACCGAGAGGCAAGCTAGCCAGATGACAGCCATCCAAGCGGCGCGGCGAGACGGGCTACCCAACGGGACCACGACAGGGGGCCCCAGCGGGTGGCGCACTAAATGCTACAGAAGGGACGATATGCCTGTCATGTGGAGAGCGAGGACGTTTTGCTCGCGACTGTTCGCGCCAGAGCAGGAAGCGAGCCCGCGTGCCGGAGGGCGCGTCTGACGTCGGGGTGATCACAGACATGGGGTCCGACCTGATATGCAGGAGAGGAGACCTAAGACCCATGGGAAACCATGCGCGACAGTGGAGCGGCTGGCGTGATAGTTGGAGATGAGACGCTCAAGGTGTGCTGCGAGAGGCTGGCCTTGAAGGGCGCCCTGGTGAGGATCATGGCGTTTCCCTATGTTCCAGCAGTCCCGTGTAATTGCAGCGACGACGTGGCTGGCGAAGCGGCCGTGGGCGCAGTCGTATTCTTCTTCGAGGCAGTTTTATGAGGATTCTGAGTTCTACCATTCCAGGTCGCGCGCCTTTCCTGTTCGCCAGGCTTGTCGTGGAGGAGCTCAGCGTGGCCGCGGACTACAAGGGGATGAGTGCATGCTGGGATGGTGACGGAGATTGGTTTCCATTATGCCAGCAGGCCCAGAGAGGGCGCCGCGTCGCCGACGTGCTGGAGAGCGACGACGCACGCGTGATTGACCGGACCGGCCGGACCTCCTTGCCGCGAAATGTGCTGGGACATGTCCGCGCGCGGCGCCCGATCAGCCCGTGCGCGTTCCCGGGGGAACAGGCGCTGCCGTGCGAGGAGTCTTTAGGCTACTTCGACGGCGCGGTCGAGATCAGCAACGCAGAGGAAAGGGCGGGGGTATCAGTTTGGCCGAGGACTTCAGCACCAATCAGCTTCGCAGGTGCCAGGGCGCGGCGCGCATGGCCATCGTGGGGGTGAAAGCCGAGCTGGACGAGGCAGGTGGCGCGCAGCGTGGCAAGCCTTAAGTTTCGGGGGTCTCTAGTCTGCCAATCGGAACTCGCGGCGGAAATGCGACGACGAGGTTTGCAGTTCAGGATTTGGACCCCGCGACGGCTGAGACTTCAGCGACGCGCATGCACGGCAGAAGTTTCTCTGGGTGATTCGGAAGGGGTGGCCCGGCGACGTCTGGGCGGGGTCCGCGCGCAGGCTGCGGCCAGTGGTGCCGCAGAAGACCATTTGCGAATCCGAGGGCGGCCGCGCTCGATGGAAGGCAGCAAGTCGAGAGCGTCGCGACGCGCGCCTGATGTTTTGCACGCAGTGGCAAGCAGGTCGAGACGCGCGTGTGAAGCGACGCGCCGGCGAGAAGCTGGGAGACGAAAGCTCTGCGCGACCTTCTTGGGCGTCTTGTGCCGGGCGCCAGAATGCGCGGGGCAACGTTCGCGGAGGAGTACGGCGTCCAGCTGGTGAACCTGCCGCGCAAGCCGAACGCGCATGACGCAACCTCCCTCGCGCTGAGGCTCGAGGGCCAAGGGGGGCGAGGGCCCCGAGCGCATCGTCCGCGCCTCGGCGAACCTCGACGACGCGAGCGCGAAGGACATTGCGCCGACGGGCTCTTGAAGAGCTAGTTCGGCCAGGGCGCGCCCAGGTGCGCGGGGCGTCTCCGCGAGAAACCGAGCCGCCCCGGCTCTGAGACGTCCGCGCGCGTGATGGCGGCAGCCAGTGTGCGCGAGGAGGTCGTCCAGAGTGCCGGCCCCTGCGCGTGTCCTGTCTGCGCTGTGCGCCGCAAGGCGTCGCGACCGCTCGAGGCGGCGCGGGCGAGGCGGAAGTCCTTCGACCGGGCCTTCTAGTTTGATTTCCTGGAGTTCAAGCTACGAGCAGGATCGGCCAATGTCGTGCGCATGATGGGCGGGGCGTGACGAGAAGGGCCGAATCGCGGCTCGCGAGGCGACCCGCGAGGCGACCAAGCCGTCGATATCGTCTGGATCAGACGCCGCGGCGCGCCCGAGGCGCTCGTCGTGGACGAGCGCGGGGCCGCGTGCAGTCAGGAGATGCCCGACTGGGGCAGCCAGCGCAGCGTCGAGATGCGAGTGGCGCTTGGAGAGGCTCGCCGCGCGCTTGGGCCCGTCGAGCGAGCGCGCCGGGCACTTCGAGAAACGCTCGAGCTCCGGTTCGAGGAGACTGGCCTCGAGCGCGACATCGAGAACCTGAAAACGGCGCTGGGCTACGCGCCCAATCAGATCGAGCGGATGATGCACCGCGAGGGCGAGAGCCCGGCGCAGCGGGTCCTGGGCTGCAGCCCTGAGCCCGACGACCCCCTTTCCACCGACACGCTGCGCGCGCCCGCCTCGGAGGCCTGCCTCGGGGAGGGGGGGGGGGGCGCCGGCGAGAGATGCGGCGGCAGCGACCGCCCTCTCCAGGGCGGATTCGACGGAGCGTTTGCTCAGGGTTCTCCCGCGCCAGAGGCGCTTATGTGCGACTCGGTTAGCGTGGGTGAGTTGTGGTATTGCTGGTGCAGCCGCGGCGCTGGCCGACTCCGGGGGTCCCGCCGGAGGGGCCTAGCTGCCGTGGCTCTGCGCGAGGGCGGTGAGAATGGGCCAGCCCAGGGTGCGCTGGATCGCGCATGGCGGAAGTTCGTTGCGATGCAGCCCCGATCAGATTCGACCGAGCGCGGGGGCCATCGGCCAGGCAGAAAGACCAGATAACCAGCAACATGCGGAAGCTGCGCTCCAA